GTGTGTGTGTGTGTGTGTGTGTGTGTGTGTGTGTGTGTGTAACGATGTTTGCAGTAAGGCAACATTTTTGGAAAACCAAACCTGAAGCGAAAGAAAGAAGATAAATAACAATCAATTCTGACCAAATGAAATCACATTTTAACGCAAATTTACTGTTGCCATCAACACAATAACAAAGTGTTTAAAGTTAAATATAATCATTTTAAAGTGGGGTTCTGTGGAGAGATTACGACTCTGTAATGTCTTACCTGTTGTAGATGGCTAATTAAACATCCTTAGTTGGGTAATTTAGTTATATCTTGTTCCTAAATGTTCCACAAGAGTCTAGTATGATAGATTTGAATTTCCACTACAAATTTTCTCTAATTTATGAACACAAGCATCTGTTTGATGTTGCTTTATTAGCTGAATTAATAGGACAATAATAAATGCCTGATTCAGCTAAAGTCATCAACAGGATAAACAGAAAAGTGGAAAAGTAGCTGATTTCTCTACAGAAAACCTTTGGAAATCTAATTTTACATTTATAAAACTGACTGTTTTCACCCCCGCAGGTTCACTGCAATAACATGCTGAGCCGTGGAGTCAGCGTGTTCAGACAGGTCACGTGTTTCTTCAGGTCGGGACCAGACTGGGAGGCTGACCCCGTCACCTTCAGGCCAGCGGTGGAGGACCTGAGAAAAGGTGCTCACTTTGTCACCGTTCCTCTTGGGGATCGAACGGCCAGCAGCGTCAAGTGTCGTTTCCACTTCAGGGATCAGTGGCTGCTGTTCAGCGAGGTGGCCTTCCAGTCGGGTAAAAAACTGTAAAAAGCTTTAATTCTACAACCAAGTGCCACCATGTGGACTGGACTGATGGATTTTTAAAACATTGTCTGCCAGGCTCCGCAGTTTACAACACGTCACTGTCATCTCACAAACATGGACCTGCTGCTAACACACCTCCAGGTTAGCACTTTAAAGTGGAACTAGTGGCAGTTTGTTTTGAAATTGTTTTCTGGTCAGACACTGCCCCCTGCTGGCAGCATCCGACACTACTGCACATACAGACGTCCCTGTCCATTTGTAATTCAGTTATTACAGTGTTTATTACATAACGACTCTTTTACGCCTCTTTAGCAGATGATCCCACTCACAAAGTGGATGACAGCAATACGAGGATCCTGATTGGCTGCTTGGTGGCGATCATAGCCATCCTGTCCACCATCATAGTCATCATACTGTGGCGGCAGGTCTGGCAAAAGATGCTCGAAAAGGTGAGGAGACAGTTTTTATTATTGCTTTATTTCCATAACATTATTTTGGAATTGTTTTTGTTGTTCAGCTGAAGCAGAGACAAAAATAATCTAGCAAAAAAGACCTTTATGAAATACATATAAAATATAAATTTGTTTAAAATGCTACAGGTGCAACTTGTTGTTTCCTGGCAAAATAATAAAATTAAGCAGAAAATAAGCTTCAATAACAACCTAAAACTTAATTTTATAATGATTTAAACCAGTGGTTTTTATCCTGACCCACAAATTGATTGTGACAAAGCAATTTATGACCACTATTTTTGTTCATTATGGTGAGTGTTTGCCATAAACCCGTATTTTTAAAGTTGAAATCTGGAGATGATCTGAAGACCCTCATTTGGTGTTTTGTGACCTAAATGGGGCCCCCACCCCAACATTGAGAACCACTGATCTAAGCTGACAAAATGCTGATGTTTTTGGCATAATGAGTGTAAGAAGAGTAAAAAGAACCAAGATTATTAAAGTTAAACTTTTTAAAGCTCTGGTCATCATGGTAACCATAATGAGCCACAGGCTCACTCAGGTTTTCTTTATTCATACCAGGGGCGTCAACACGGGGGGCCAGGGGGGCAATTCAGTTCAATTTTTTTATATTTTTATTCAATTCAATTTTTTATTCAGTTCAGTTCAGTTTAGTTTATTTCATTCATTCATAAAACCCAACTGTATAAAATCTATATGCAGTAAATTAAAATAAAATAACAGCAAAAACAGATTAAAAAAACTAATAAAAGGCAAATCAAGCCATGAATAAAAAGGGTGCAGATTGAAGAAAACTTATTTTATCTGCCTCTTAATACTCAGTCATCATTTACAAAAAAACAAAACAACATCCCACCTCCACTAGACTCCACAAATAGCACATTTTCCTAATAAATGCAACTTAATCCTCTTTTTAAACATAAACATTGTCTTAGAGGATTTTATAATAGCAGCAAGACCACCTATTCCATGAATTACAGAACATGGCCCCTTCAGACTGGTGTGAAAAGGAGGATTTATAAAAGGACAAGCTTCAATAAGCTGAGTAGAGACAGTGACTTTCAGTACTATTATGTAATAAATAAATAAATAAATAAATAAATAAATAAATAAATAAATAAATAAATAGATAGATAGATAAAGGTGACCCCCTAACTCCTGCTTTGCTCTATTTGTCAAAAAACATACTTGTAACAACAACGTGTCAAATCTAGCTGTCCTGCCCACCCCAGGATTTTTAGTGCCCCCCCCCCAAAAAAAAATTAGAGGCGTCACTGACTCTGTTATGGAATCAAAACCTTGTTTTTTGTAATTTTCTATTTAATTGTATGGAAATTCTTTGAGAATTTTTCTGGTTTGCTTTGCGTCGTTTTTAAAGATGAGCCACATTTTGTTTTTACACGACAATAAATCAGCTTGTTTTTGTTTTAATGGCAGCCCAGCGAGGTGTTKGTCTTTTCACTGATTGTTCCACGCTGATAACTGTCTGTCTCTGCAGGCGTCTCGACGCTTATTGGACGATGAGCTCACGGCCCGCCTGGCCGCTCAGACCCGGGCCTTCTCCTTCCTCCACTCGTCTCTGTCCAGCGAGGGGGGCTCCACCTCCACGTACGACAGGATTTACCCGCTCTGTGCCGACTACCAGGAGCCGTCTCGCCTCATCCGAAAACTGCCCGAGTTCGCCCAGTCCACTGAACACCTCGGTAAACTGAGCCGTCGCAGTGGAAACGGGTTTCACATGGATGACAGACAACATAAACTGTTCTGAGCCCAAACATGAGTGAGGAATAATGAGAAATATCAAAACACTAAATAAAGACAGTGTGACCGCTGTGCTGTGTGCTGCATGATAGAACACAAGCTAAAATTAGCAACAACAAAAAAGTAGTTAAAGGCTAAAATCTGTAAAACACAAGCTGAAAATGTTCAAACTAGCAAAACAGCAACTGAAAACTAAAAATGACAGCTAAATGAAAAAGTTAACTGCTGCTAAAAGTAGTTAAACTAAAGGTAAAAACTACATTTTACTAAAAGGCCACGAGTAGCTGACATTAAATAAACTGTAGCAAAACTTAAATTTAAAATTATTGAAACTGCACCTAAAAGCTAGTGAGGAAAACATGAGCAAAAAGCCACAAATAGCCTAACTGCAGAGAGAAACTAAAAGTAGTCGAAACCGTTAAAAGGTAAAATTAGCTACACTGCAAGCAAAAAGCTAAAATTTGTTTAGAAGTAGCTAAAATTGGTTAAACTGCAGCTAAAAGATAAAACTGGCTCAACTGAAGCTAAAAGCTTTAAAAATTAATAGCTAAAACTAGCTAAAATTGTCTAAACATTAACTAAAATGTAAAGGTGAAAAACATAAACAGTTGCTACAAGCTAAAATTCATAATAAATATTGTGGCTAAAAACCCAAAATAGCTAAACTGCATCTGAAAGCTACAATCAGTCAAATAATAGTTTAAATATAAAGCTAACAAAACAGTAGCTAGAAGTGTACAAACAACAGCTAAAATTAGCTGAACTGCACCTAAAAGCTAAAAACTGGTGGGCAGTAGCTAAAAGTTCAAATTGGCAAAACAGGACAGGATAAAATTAATATAAAAAAGGCAGATAAAATGTAAACTTTGTAAAATTGCAGCTAACATCTAAATTTTGTTAAACAGTAAATAAAAGCTGAAAATAGCACGACCAATTCTAAAAAGCTAAAATCAGAAGAATGATAGCTGAAAAGATCAAAGCAGCTAAGCTGCAACTAAGAACTTTTTACAAAAAGAAAAAACAAGTAGGTCTTCTGGATGGGTTCTTCTTTAGTGAAACGTTTCGTCTCTCCTCCAAGAGACTTCTTCAATCTGAGAGTTTCAGGTGAACTCAGTCTTAAAAGCACTGCCTCCACGTGGACAAACAGGTCAGTCACATGCAAAAGAGGACCATCGCCTAACAATAAGTGATGGCCTAAAAGCTAAGAGCTTTTTATACTGTTTAGCTCAAAGTAGCGTAAAAATACAAAAAAATCTAGTAGCTGAAACAGATTTGAAAGATTCTGAAGGAAGTCAGGAAATCAAAATGTGTTTTTTTTTTTGAAAAAATTGTTTTAAAGGTAAATATTTTGAAAAGCATCCAAATGACAAAAAAAAAAAATCATATCACCCTCTGAACAATCCAGCTGAATATTTTATTGCATGACTTGTAAATTAACACAAATTATACTGAAGTCATTTGAAAAAAAAAAAACTCAATGCTGAGTCAGCACAAATCTAAGCAGGTCAAAGTGGACATTTAAACTATGATGCTTATTCTGGACAATATTTATAAAGTAGATACTAGATTTATAAATCAACAATATTAAAAAATGTTGACATGCAGCACTAATGAAGTCTGTGTTTTGAGTTGTTTTAATAAAATCTGGATGTATGTGGACAAGCATGTCCTCTGACATATATCAGGGGGTGATGCAGCACCCTCAGCACCCTGCCTTCCATGGCCTTGCTTTGTGCTCATCTAAAGCTTTGGTTTGTCCTGCAGAGTGTGGGACGTCCTGCAGAGCAGCCGGTGGTCCGGACAGCGCTCCGCACTACGCTGAGGCAGACATCATRAGTCTGCAGGAGTCTTCAGACAGCGGCACGTTCTCCATCACAGCTGCCACCATCAACCTGATCGCCGGAGCAGAGTCATCCATGAGGGAGTTCCCCCGGGAGAAGCTCACCTTCAAGGAGAAACTGGGAGAGGGCCAGTTTGGAGAAGTACGATCCCTTTTCTCGCCCCTGTTAGTTCAGAATGATATGTTATTCTCTTGTTTCCCACATTAAATTGGTGCCACTTCAGTGTAATATTTAAAAATCAATCAGAGCTCTGTGTGTGGCTAAACCACTAGACTGTGAGTTCCACAGTAACATTGGACTGCTTCTCCACACAGGTGCACTTGTGTGAGGCTGAGGGTCTGAGGGTCTTTCTGGATGAGGAGTCAGCCGAAGATAACCATGATTCTTCGCTCGTCGCTGTAAAAAAACTGCGAGAAGATGCCAACAAGAACGCCAGGTGAAGACGGGAGGCTGAGCAGCAGGTTGTTCAGTCGTTAGTCAGGTTTTAAACCGTTTCTCACCTGTGTGCTGCAGGAACGACTTCCTGAAGGAGATCCGGATCATGTCCCGTCTGAGGGACCCCAACATAGTCCGCCTGCTGGCCGTGTGCGTGGACAGAGACCCTCTGTGCATGATCACTGAGTACATGGAAAACGGAGACCTGAATCAGTTCCTGGGTGGTCTCAGACTCAAGAAGACCACTGACGAAGATGAGGCAGGTCAGGAAGAGAAGTTGGATATGATAAGGTAGGACTCTTCGGCTGCTTTGGGGTCAAAATGACCCCTGAGGCTTCAGTTAAATTTATTTAATTACAATGTTTATTCAGAGAGTTACGTCTATTTAATTATTTAAGCTAATAAAAAGAGGTCATTTTAATCAGAACTCTTCAGCTGATTTTGGGTCAAAATGACATCAGCCTTGAAAATAGCAGAACAGTTAAAACTTAACATTTCCTGCCAAAATAAGCACTGAGTGACAGCTAAAATTTATTGAAGCAGAAACTAAACTGCTGATTTCAAAATAAGGCCAAAACATTAAATTATCAAAACAATAAAATTAAAAATAAAAGCTGCAGCAAGAACAAGAGTACCTGAAAGCTAAAATGATCAGAACAGTAGCTAAAAACTAAAATTATCAGAACACTAAAGCTAAAATTAGCAAAACAATAACTAAAAAAGATAAAACTAACACAAGAGTACCGTCCGTCCGTCCATCTGGCCGTCCATCCGTTTTCTTCCTTTTATCCGGGATCGGGTCGCGGGGGCAGCAGCCCAAGCAGAGAGACCCAGACTTCCCTCTCCCCAGCCACTTGGACCAGCTCATCTGGGGGAATCCCAAGGTGTTCCCAGGCCAGCCYAGAAACATAGTCCCTCCAGCGTGTCCTGGGTCTTCKTCTGGGTCTCCTCCCAGTGGGACGTGRCCYGAARACCTCACCAGYGAGGCYTCKYGGAGGCATCCTWACCAGATGCCTGAGCCACCTCAACTGGCTCCTCTCAACGTGGAGGAGCAGCGGCTCTACTCTGAGTCCCTCCCGGATGACCGAGCTTCTCACCCTATCTCTAAGGGAGAGCCCAGACACCCTGCAGAGGAAACTCATTTTGGCCACTTGTATCCACGATCTCGTTCTTTCGGTCACTACCCAAAGCTGGTGACCATAGATGAGGTAGGAATGTAGACCGACTGATAAACTGAGAGCTTTGCCTTCTGGCTCAGCTCTCGCTTCACCACGACAGACCGGTACAGCGCCCGCATCACTGCAGAAGCAGCACTAATCCACCTGTCGATCTCCCGCTCCATTCTTCCCTCATTCGTGAACAAGACCCAGAGATACTTAAACTCCACTTGGGGCAGGACCTCCTCCCCGACCCGGAGGCGGCCCACTACCCTTTTCCAGCTCAAGACCATGGTCTCAGATTTGGAGGCACTGATCCTCATCCCGGCCGCTTCATACTCGGTTACGAACAGCTCCAGCGCGAGCTGGAGACCACGATCTGATGAAGCCAATAGGACCACATCATCCGCAAAAAGCAGAGATGTGATCCTAAAGTCACCAAAAAGGACCCCCTCAACACCTTGGCTGCGCCTAGAAGTTTTGTCCATAAAAGTTATGAACAGAATCTGCGACAAAGAGCAGCCTTGGCGGAGTCCAACTCTCACCGGAACCGAGTCCGACTTACTACCGGCAACGCGGACCAAGCTCTGGCACCGGTCATACAGGGACCTAACAGCCTGTATCAATGGGCCTGGTACCCCATACTCCCGGAGTACCCCCACAGGAGTCCCTAAGGGACATGGTCGAARGCCTTCTCCAAGTCCACAAAACACATGTAGACTGGTTGGGTGAACTCTCATGCCCCCTTCAAGACACTGCTGAGGGTGTAGAGCTGGTCCACTGTTCCAGACCAGGACAAAAACCACACTGCTCTTCCTGAATCCGAGATTTGACTGTCCGATGGACCCTCCTCTCCAGGACCCCTGAATAGACCTTACCAGGGAGGCTCAGAAGTGTGATCCCCCTATAGTTGGAACACACTCTGCGGTCCCCCTTTTTAAATAGGGGGACCACCACCCCAGTCTGCCAATCCAGGGTAACTGGCCCCAATGTTCACGCGTTGTTGAAGAGTCGCGTCAACCAATGCAACCCCACAACATCCAGAGTCTTAAGGAGCACGGGTGAATCTCATCCACCCCCCGGCGCCTTGCCACCGAGGAACGTCCACCATTAAACAGAGATGGAGGCCTTCGTGTCCAGTTGTCCTCCTCCTACAATGCTGTTGTTGCAAGTATGACTCAGCCCCCTGTGAGCAAAAGGTGTGAATCAGGGCACCAACAATAACCAATACAAAGGGAAAAAACAAAAACAAAGGGACGTTGAGCCCCACCTGCATTCACTCCATACACATGACACGACACGTAAGAACCARAGCATTCAAACCAATAAGTCAGGTGATGGGGCACATGACCCTCTATGAACAATAGAGCTAATCAAGCGCAATAGAGCTAATCAAGCCTATTGTTAAGTGATGGCCCACTTTTGCATCTGACTAACCTCTTTGTCCACCATGTGGAGGCAGTGCTTTTAAGGCTGAGTTCACCTGAAACTCATCAGACTGAAGAAGTCTCTTGGACGAGAGACGAAACATTTCACTAAAGAAGAACCCATCCAGAGGACCAACTTATTTTTTCTTTTTGATTCCTAATCCCACAACATTTTTAAGAACATATACAAATAATACAACAAAATGTGTCACTCACTGTGATTTAAGGTTTTCTTGTAAATCTTGTTGGGGTGCAATGAGAGCATAACGAAACTTTCATAAACTTCAATAAGCCTAAAGTTTTCTCTTCAGTAATGGGAGGTAAAGAATCATTTCAAACAGGTCTTATGTTATTTTTTTTTACATTATAGCACAGTAGAAATAAAGAAACCACGTGTGACCAACACAGTCTTCTTCCACTCCCAACTTAAGAATTTTAAAG